TTTTTTTTCTTTTGTGATTATTAGTACGTCTTTTGTGTTGTTGTCTCATGTCAATGACATGACATGACATGATGTGTATGAGGTGCTTTTAAAATTGTGATTAACTGAGGAGTGTGCAGGATTTAGTCACTCCTTAAAGATGATAAAATGAAAATGTAAATGTGTCTACAAGTTAATGAGTTTGTTTGTTTGTTTGTCTTAAACAGGTTGACATTAAATCTCAAATGGTAGTAACAATACCGCCGGGTTCTGAGAAGAGTTTTACCATCACACCAAGTGGACAGATTGTGGGAAGTGTGATTTATGGAGATGAGACTACTCAAATGAGTCCACTACTTACACAAAAGAACAATTTGGTGATACCAGTGTGTCATGGTGGTAGTCTACAGAAGGTCTCCTTCGGTCCAATCTATGGCACGGCTTGTGTGTCTGGTTCACGTCCTCCAACAGCGTCTATCACCAAATCGCCTATTTGCTCCATTTCTCTTGGATCGCAATATGCCTCTCAGACACCCGTAAACACCACAACTCAATCCAAAAGTCAAACTTATAGTGTTCTACTACCCTCCAAGTCGTATGATGAATTGCTTCACTGCTCTTCAATAAAACCAAGTCCACTTAACTGTCAACAGCATCAATCCTTGCTAACTGCCTACAACAATGTTGGAAAGAAGCATCAAGAGGACTATCAAAGTCCATCAGTACAAACAATCACTCCTGATGATCGTAATTCTGTCTCTTTGAACTACAACTCAAATGTCTCCTTCACTCCTCTCCACTTGACTCCATCGTCTAGCCAATCACCTTCTGGCATTACCGACCCCTGTGGCTGCGGACAAGCCAGTTTTGTCTAGACTTTCAGTTCGATAATTTTTTTTTCTTCTAATGTGTACATTATATTCAATTTTGAAGCCTTGATAATGTTGTTATGGTCGAGATGTGGTAGTGGAGGCAAACGCATCATCCTAGAGGGATGACTGATGTAAAAGTTATGCACATGAAGATCAACCCTGTAATCAGGATGTGCTTCTCAGAAACAGAAAGTGTACTTCACTCGGGTTTGCTAAATTCAACCACCCAAATAATTTACAAGTGTGTTATTAAAAGTTAAATTTGCGTTAAGAGTAAAGGGTGCTCAAAACTACTCCAAACCTAGAATGTCGATTGATG